CAGAACTATACCCTCAACCTGAATATTCTCAAGCTGAGAATTCACACACCCCTGCAAGTTAGATATCTCGTCCCTGGTGTCACAATTCTGCCTTTCTGACACTGACACACAGAAGTTCCCAGCCCCAACCCGTGGGCCTGCACAAGCAGATCCAGAGGCAGCAGTGAGCATGTGCAGACAGCTATTTGCTCTGCTTAAGTGAGGTGAGAGACACACACCTGCATTTCCTGATCCGTCTCTCATCTCTCTGTGATACTAAGTTTTTGCCACACTGCATATGGTGGGGCTTAGTACTTAAAAGTCAGAAATGTTTATATTAAATCAAAGCTCAGTGGGAAGGGCACGTTTTGCTGTTAATACTTCTGCTATTGCTGTTGCTGTGCTGCAAACCACACTTGTTGAAGAAAAATCAACAGCTGCATGCTATAGCTATAAACCTGAGAAAGTAATGCTGTTAAATGCTAAGAGCCTTCTCTTGCCATAAAAATTGGTAAAATAAAATGACCAAGACTTGTGGTAGCTGTTGTTCTAATTTTAATTCAACTGCCCAAGTTAAGAAACCCCAGAGGCTCAAATGGAAAAGACACTTGAAAGTTCATTTTTCAGAAGTCTCTCTTTTTTTCCTCTAGAGTATAAACAATAAAGAAGAAAACACTCTTTTTATACCACATCTGGTAAAGCATTATTCTTCAGATTAAAATCCTACATGCCCAAAGCAAGCTGTAAAGACTGAATCATGAAACCTAAAATGTGGTTTATAATCAAAATATCCATAGATCCTTTGTTATAGAAGCCTGGTGGGAAGTCCTAAGTGGAGTGCAGGATCTGGTCCAAGGGGTAAATATAACTGGACTGCTCGGAAATAGTGACCATAATGTAATAAAATTTAACATCCCTGTGGTAAGAAAAACACCTTGGCAGCCCAACTCTGTGACATTTAATTTCAGAAAGGGGAAATACACAAAAATGAGGAGATTAGTTAAACAGAAATTAAAAGGTATAGTGACAAAAGTAAAATCTCTGTAAGCTGCATGGAAAATTTTCAAAAACACCATAATAGAGGCTCAACTGAAATGTATACCTCAAATTAAAAAACACAGTAAGAGAACCAAAAAAATGCTACTATGGCTTAACAACCAAGTAAAAGAAGCAGTAACAGATAAAAAGACATCTTTTAAAAAGTCAAATCCTAGTGAGGCAAATAGAAAAGACCATAAACTTTCTAAAGTTAAGTGTAAAAATATAATAAGAAAGGCCAAAAAGGAGTTTGACGAACTGCTAGCCAAAAAAATCAAAAAGTAATAGCAAAATGTTTTTAAGTACATCAGACGTAGGAAGCCTGCTAAACAATCAGTGGGGCCCTTGGACGATAGAGATGCTAAAGGAGCACTCAAAGCTGATAAAGTCATAGAGGAGAAGCTAAATGAATTATTTGCTTCAGTCTTCACAGCTGAGGATATTGGGGAAATTCCCAAACCTGAGCCATTCTTTTTAGGTGACAAATCTGAGGAATTGTCCCAGATTAAGGTGTCATTAGAGAAAGTTTTCAATCAACTTGATAAACTTAATAGTAATAAGTCACTGGGACTAGATGGCATTCACCCATCTGAAAGAACTCAAATGGGAAATTGTGGAACTATTAACTATGGTTTGTAACCTATCCTTTAAATTGGCTTCCATACCTAATGATTGGCAGATAGCTAACATGATGCCAATATTTAAAAAGGCCTCTAGAGGTGATCCTGGCAATTACAGACCAGTAAATCTAACATCAGTACCAGGAAAAATAGTGAAGAATAAAATTGTCAGACACAGATTAACATAATTTGTTGGGGGAAAGTCAACATTGTTTCTGTAAAGGGAAATCATGCCTTACTAATCTACTAGAGTTCTTTGAGAAGGTCAACAAACATTTGGAGAAAGGGGATCCAGTGGCTATAGTATACTTAGACTTCCAGAAAGCCTTTGACAAGGTCCCTTGCCAAAGGCTCTTAAATTAAATAAGTTGTCATGGGATAAGAGGGAAGGTCCTCTCATGGATTGATAACTGGTTAAAAGACAGGAAACAAAGGGTGGGAATAAATGGTAAATTTTCAGAGTGGATAGCGGTAACTAGTGGGGTCCCACAAAGGTCTATCCAGGATCCATCCTATTCAACTTATTTATAAATGATCTAGAGAAAGGGGTAAACATGAGGTGGCAAAATTTGCAGATGATACCAAACTGCTTAAGATAGATAAGACCAAAGCAGACTGTGAAGAGCTTCAAAAAGATCTCACCAAACTAAGTGATTGGGCAACAAAATGGCATATGAAATTCAATGTTGATAAATGTAAAGTAATGCACATTGGGAAAAAAAACCAACTATGCAGACAATATGATGGGGACTAGTTTAGCTACAACTACTCGAGCGAGAGATCTTAGAGTCATTGTGGATAGTTCTCTGACAACATCCACTCAATGCATAGCAGTCAAAAAAAATAGAATGTTAGGAATCATTAAAAAAGGGATAGAGAATAAGACAAAGACTATCTTATTGACTATAAAACCATGGTACTCCCACATCTTGAATATTGCGTACAGATGTGGTCACCTCATCTCAAAAAGATATATTGGCATTAGAAAAGGTTCAGAAAAGGACAACAAAATGATTAGGGGCTTGGAACAGGTCCCATATAAAGAGAGATTTAAAAGACTTGGACTTTTCAGCTTAGAAAAGAGACACTAAGGGGGAATATGATAGTCTATAAAATCTTGACTAGTGTGGAAAAAGTGAATACAGAAAAGTTATTTATTTATTCCTACAATATAAGAACTAGGGGTCACCAAATTAAATTAATAGGCAACAGGTTTAAACAAACAAAAGGAAGTTTTTCTTCATGTGCACACAATCAACCTATGGAACTCCTTGCCAGAGGATGTGTTAAAGACTATGACTTTAACAGGGTTAAAAAAAGAGCTAGATAGCCATTGATGGACCTAACCTCCATTAATCTATTAGCCAGGATGGGTAGGAATGGTGTCCCTAGCCTCTGTTGGTCTGTAAATGGGTGACAAAAGAGGAATCATGTGAGGATTACCTGTTGTGTTCCCTCCTTCTGGGGCATTTGGTATTGGCCACTGTTTGCAGACAGGCTACTGAGATAGATGGGCCTTTAGTCTGACCTAGTATGGCTATTCTTATGGTCTTATGTACTTAAATGTACAACATCTCCAACAATACTACTGTTTCTGCAAATTTTATTTCCTTGCTAATGGAATTTAAAGAAGATGACTGTTCATCTTAAATGCTCCATTGTTCATGCAGTTATCCTTCCTGTACATGGCCAGTGCAAGCTTCATCAAACAATAGGAAGCATCATCAGATTTCACGTCACTACTAAATAATAGGCCTTTAACACCGCATAAAACCACAACAAAGGAATCCTAAAAAATTTTCCTACAATCTGTGATAAATATAAGGCCTGATCCACTGTCCATAGAGTCTACTGGGAACAACAACGTTCCAAAAGAATTCTACAATATAACAAGCAAATCAGAACCTAATATATACAGTTCTGATGCACATTAACTTGGTCTCCAATACTTAGGAATTTTAACATGCTGATGCTAATAGATATTTCTTTGCCAAATAGTTACTCAATTTATTCAGAGCTGGAATGAACCTGACAATCTGCAGTGTTTTATCATAAGTTAGTGGCTTATTTTTTCCTATTGTAATATTGTCAAGTAACTTATTTATGTGAGGCAAAACTGTAAATGATTCACTCCTATTGTTTGTTTTTAATTAGAAGAAAATATGTTCCAAATGTGCTGTTATGTGATTCATACACAGTCAGGCTATATAGACAGAATAGTACAGAATCTATCAACTGCTGTACTTTTACAGCTTAATTTTCTTTGCAAGTCAGCCATTCATTTGCTTCAAGCTGCTAGCCAGTTGCCACTTGCAAGTTTATTTGCCCTCTTGTGCTCATAAACAATTTAGTCATGCTGATTTAACACTTAATTTTTTAAAATTACTTTCCATGCATCTTGTTGCATAATTAATACAAGTAGAAAGCTCACTTGGAAAGGGCATTGTTTGTAAAACCATATGTCAAGATGATCATCTGGCCTTGGGCTGCAGGAAATTAGAGAATGGGTGAATATTCTGCAGTAGTTTTGGCCGTGATTATATGGTGGCTGGCAGCATGCCAGTAGCAGCTAAGTAGCAGTGAAAGGTCTAGAACGTCAGTGATTTCCTCTGTGTATTAGATCATAGATCATTTTCAAGTCATGAAACATCTCAGAAAGGATTTGTAGCAAATACTAACGGATTTGAAATTACAGGCAGTCCCCGACTTACGCGGATCCGACTTATGTCGGATCCGCAGTTACGAACAGGGCTGCCCCAGAGTACACGGACTGCGGGACCTCGCGGTCCTGCCGCCCGTGTACTCTGGGGCTTTCTCTGCGTCTCCCTGGTCTGCAGACCAGGAAGACGCAGAGCAAAGCCGCGGAGGGGCTCAGGCAGCCGGGCAGCCCAGGCACGCCTGGGCTGTCCCGCCGCCGGCTTCCCCCGCAGCTTTGCAAAGCCACGGAGGGGCTGGGGCTCCGGGGCAGCCCAGGCGCGCCTGGGCTGTCCTGTCCTCTCCAGCAGACCAGGGAGATGGGGAGCAAAGCCTCGGAGCACGCCAGCAGTGGGACAGCGTGGCGCGCCTGGACTGTCCCGCTGCCCGCGTGCTCTGCGGCTTTGCTCCGCGTCTCCCAGGTCAGCAGACCAGAGAGATGGAGCAAAGCCGTGGAGGACTTGGGCGGTCCCGCCACCCCCGTATCCCTGGTCTGCTGGGGGAGGGGTGCAGCTAGTGCCCCCCCCAGCAGACCAGGCTTTTCTTGCCTACCCCTGGGGGAGCACTGAATACTTACAGTAGCATTTGTTGTTTGCATGTTTTCACACAGACATGTTCTTGGTTTGGCCTTCCGCAGCTGACACCTTCACCTTTTCCCCTTCTTTCCAGAACACTTGAAAGAGAAGTTGGAGGAATACATGGCCCGTTTTGCCAAAGTGAGGATTGTGCGCACCAAGAAACGAGAAGGGCTGATTCGGACCAGACTGCTAGGAGCCTCGATGGCTAAAGGAGAAGTCTTGACGTTCCTGGACTCCCATTGTGAAGTCAACGTGAATTGGCTTCCTCCCTTGCTTAGTAAGTGCTTGAATTGGCCATTGAAATCAGAACATGTAGTTTAGTTTACACTTGTTCTCCAGAATAGGCAGATCCTTGCACTATATAAAAAAGTTAATTGTCACAGGCCACCTGCAATACAGTTCTGATATTCCAAGCACAACATGAGATTTTTAGACCTTCACGTACATCACTGAATTTCACTGGAATAATCTGAAGGATATATATACTGGTTGTCTAGAAATTGAAAAGTCAGTATAAGAAAGAGCTTGTTTGTCTGGCAAGACAGAAATCTGAAAGACTTAATTTCAAAGATGACAAGAATAATTTCTGAAATATAGTTCTGCTCTCCCCTTTGTTTCTAGTACTAGGTAAGGAATGTACTATAAATGTAAGAGCAATAAGGAGTGTTTGGTTTGCAGCTACTCTACTCCTTCTTAGTCTTCCACATTCCAATAAATCAGTTTTAGTTGTAAATATATCCCAGATTTGGAATTAAAGCCAATAACTGAATTCACAGTACGAAGCTCAGAAAGGATGATTTGCTATTGACTGCTCTTCTGGATTCCAGATGGAACCAGCAAAGCACTGTAATCAAAGGCCTGGGAAGAAACGATTGTAAGTCTGATTCCTCATCCCGTCCTGACAGAGTGTGCTTTCGTCCTTTAGTTCAGACAAGAAACCTTGTTTTCATTAAGAGAATTTCTCATACGGCTGGCAGTTTAGCCTTTCATCAGTGAGTGGTCAATATCCCTTGCGTTTTGTTGCTGGAACTGGTTTCGTGGCAAAATATGCTGATTAAACATATTCAAGCAGCAAAATGCCTAATTCTGTTTCTGGCCTATGCAACATAATGCAGAAAGCCATTAACCAGTCTCTCTAATAATCCCTAACATAATCCACAAAATTGAAGCCTATATATTTTTTGTAACTGGAGTTACAGGGGCCCCATTTAGGGCAGGCTGGGTGAGGTTCCTGCTCCCACCTTCCAAGTGTCATACCACATTTGGATGAAGTTGTAGCCGAAGGAGAGATGCAGCTCCTCTCTGACACACTGCCCTGCTCTGCTGCCATCTGCAGCTGCTGTGCTGCTCCTTGCCCCTGACTAGGCCAGTCGCCAGCAATTCCAGCAGAACAGTCAGTGGGCCCCCATGCACAAACCATGCCCACTCAGCTGCACTGGTGAGAGTGCTTTTCCAGCACAGCCACGGCTTCCATATGCCTGATCAATAGGGTTGCCAATTGTCCCCTGCCCCTGCTCACTCTATCCCCCCTTCCTCTGTCATCTGCTCTCCCCCATCCTCACTCATTTTCACCAGGCTGAGGAAGGGAAGGAAGTTTGGGTATTGGAGGGGGCAGAGGGTGAGGACTCTAGGGGTATGTCTAGACTACAGGCTTACGTCGACATAAGTTTTGTCGACAGAATCTGTTGGCAAAACTTATGTCGACATAGAGCGTCTAGACTACATCCAGTTCTATCGACAAAGCAAGCCGCTTTGTCGACATAACAGTGTGGACGCAAAGGACAGTGTAGATGCAATAACACCTTCTATCGACAGAACTCTGTTGACAAAAGGCGTTATTCCTCGTAGAATGAGGTTTACATACGTCGACAAAACTGCTGAGTTTTGTCGACATTATGTCGACATAACTCAAAGGCAGTGTGGACGCAAGTATAGTTTTGTCGACGAAAGTCCACTTTTGTCGACAAAACCCTGTAGTCTAGACACACCCTAGGAGGGAGCATGGATGCAGACGGGGTTGCACCAGGTTCAGGTGGGGGTGCCAGAGCAGATCAGGATGTCTAACTACAGCACCTCTTGAAAATGACCAGCACATCCCTCTGGCAGCGGTTTATAGGCGGGAGGGCCAGGGGTCTCCATGTGCTACTGCCTACAGGCAACACCCCCCTGGGTTCGGGCCATGCGAAGCTGCAGATTGTGAGCTCTGCTGCTCTCCCAGGGCCGCAGGGATATGCCAGCTGCATCCAGGAACAGCTCAGAGCCTGCCTTAGCCCCACTGCACTGCTAGCACCAGGGGCTAGGGCTCCCGGAACCGTTTTAAGTCACCGGGACTCACGGGAAATTGCTCCCTTTGTCCCCCTCCTCTTCCATTGGTGGGCCTGCCCCTCACATGGAGCTGCTTGGTACTGGGATGCTGAATCCTGACCACCTGTGCAGAGCTGATACTGCACTGTCCCCTTCCCTCTTCCCCATTGTGTACTCAAGGAAGCAGAGTATGTCCCTCACCCGTGTCCCAATGTGCCAACTAGGGACTGAGCATACATCCAGCCCTGCTGCAAAAGCACCCCCTTGGACATGGCCCCTAACTGCACCCAAAGCTACCCCTGTGTGTGCACCCAGCCCCTAGCTATCCCCAAGGTACTCTCCTTGCACCCAGCCCCTAGCTACCTCTCTCCCTGAATCCTTAGTGGTCTTCAAATTTTTTGAGATGTTACAATTTTAGATTGTATCCTCCCATTATCTGGAAAAAAAAAAGAACAGTTTTCAGCAGCTTAACTAGTTTTTGGAATCACCCCTTCCCACCAAAATCTGAAATGATGTCCCTGGTAGGGTGCCCAAATTATGCATCCAGTCTATTCCTTGGTTATTGTCTTTCCTTATTTACGGCATCAGCATTAACCTTTTTATTAAATTGTGCCACCATCTCTGTAAAAGCCAAGCGGCTGGAGATGGGAAGGAGCAGAGACACCGGCTGACTTCCACAAGTTGCAGTGTCAGGTCACTGCTGGATGTGTTCACCTTAGTTAACTGAGAGAGAAGTCTTCTGCCTGCTGTTGGGCTTTCAGGGTTGGATGTTGCTCAGCACATCCCTCAACTAGTTCAAAAATCTTATGGCTTCTCACCTAATTTTTCATAACCACAGATGTGATGAAAAGCTTCTATTTTGCTAACTTAATTCTGCTGCAAAATCAAAAGTTCCAAACCCAGCTTTTCTTCATAACTCTCCTCTGAGGGTAGAAAACCTTCTAACTTTCCTCCAGCTATTCTTAGCTTAATCACAAACACTGTTTCCTCAGGCAATACACAGACAAATGAGAAGGCCTGGATTGTGGTCTGGTGTTATGTGTGGGAGGGGAAGCTGCAGTTAACTCCTTTCTGAATTGAAAAGGAGTCAGGGTCCTGGGATTGATTCCTCCTCTCCTTATGTGTCAGGTCTAACAGAAATAACACCCAGCAAGTCAACAAGGACTATTCTAAACCTTAAGTTTGGGGCACACTGAGGCCCAAGGCTAGGATAGCGAGCTGTCCATTTTTTTGCTGGAAAGTAGGGTTGAAAAACAGATCTACTGACCAGGCACCCAACGTCCAGTTATTTAGGCAAGGAGGAACTGTCATAAACTGCATCAGCCCGTACTCACACGGGGCCACCTCCCACATGCCTTGAGCAGTTGCAGCTTTCAGTTCCAGCTCTGTAGGAAAGGGGAGAAGCATGAGTGATGGGAAAAAGGTGAAAGAGGAGTGAATGGCTGTGGGGCCATAGGAGGAAGGAGCAGGGCCTCATTGGAAGAGGCGGGGCAGGGTGAGGCTTGGGTGAAAGGGGTGCAACAGAGCAGGAAGGGTCAGGTTCCAGCACTACCGCTGGAGTGTTCTGTTCTTAAATATTACAAAGTTGGCAGCCCTACCCTAGACTCAGCCATTAGCCCTGGAATCTGAAACAGAAAATAATGCAAAGCAAACACAATATGAACAAACAAAAAAAGTTTCAAGGGCAACTTACTCTCTGCCACCTTAAAGAGAGGATTAACCATTTGACGTCCCAGTGTTTCTCCTTTTTATAATAAATGGGAAAAAAAGCAGTGGCTTAAAGGGAGCAGCATCTGTCATGTATTAACAGTAGGTCTAAATACCTATTTGTAAGTTTTTACCGAAGGGCTCATAGCTTTCTCCCCACAGCCTGCATTTTTTGAATGACTGGAGATGAAACTCTGCTGAAGCAGATTGCACATTTGGCACTTACAGATTGCTGGTGCTGCATCCACAGGGCAAGCAACGCTGCCCTTATTATGTCTGATTGAATCTGCAAAGCATGTTGAAAAGTCCTCACAGAGACATAAACTCAGCTGGGTTCTAGCATGAAGGCACTCTGGCTACGTCTACACTGGCATCCCTTCCGGAAAAGGGATGCTAATGTAGCACGTTGGAATAGGCAAATCCGCGGGGGATTTAAATATCCCCCGCAGCATTTGCATTAACGTGGCTGCCGCTTTTTTCCGGCTTGGGGAAAAGCTGGAGAAAAGCGCCAGTCTAGACGTGATTCTCCAGAAAATAAAGCCTTTTCCGGAGGATCTCTTATTCCTACTTTCAAGTAGGAATAAGAGATCCTCCGGAAAAGGCTTTATTTTCTGGAGAGGAAAAAAAGCAGCAGCCACATTAATGCAAATACCGCGGGGGATATTTAAATCCCCTGCGGATTTGCCTATTCCAAAGTGCTACATTAGCATCCCTTTTCCGGAAGGGATGCCAGTGTAGACACAGCGTTTGTGTTCATCAGCCTGCCCAAGGGCAATGGGTGAACCCCCACATTTGGAGAGACTATCCTGCTGGCCCCACTCCTTTTGACCAAGGCCCCACCACACCTACACCAAAGCCCTTAATTTTCCCTGAGGACACCCTGCCCACCTTGGGCTGGCTGCAGCACCTGTTCATGCCACATGACAGCCCTGCTTCAGCTACCCCAGGCCAGTCCCAGTGCCTGGTTGTGTTGGCTGGTCAACTACCTCCTTACCCCCAATTGCCAGCCCAGCCCCAGCCACACCATGCCATGTCACCACCCCACTGTCCAAGTGCTAGGCCATCGCCCCTCTTCCCCCCCCCCCACACACACACCTGGCTGAGCCATCTCACTACCTTCCCTCCCATGTGCCACCTGAGACATATTAGCCTTGTCCTTTCTCTAATGTCCTCACAGCCTGCTTCTGCCTGCCATGTGGTAAGTCCTCTACTTCACCTCCTGCAGCCCTCTTCACTATCCTGCCCCTGAGGGAAGGGAAGTGGGAGGTGAAGCGGAGGACTTACCACATAGCAGACAGGTGGAAGCAGGCTGTGAAGACGTTAGAGAAAGGACAGGGCCACTGCGGCTCAGGTGTCCCAGTGGTAGGTCAGCAGCAGTTGCACCAGGGAAGGCTTAGCCTTCCTGGGCTTACTGTACCCACCACACATGGCCTTCCCCTATTTCTTAAGCAGTTTCTCTGGTTGAGACTTCACAAATACTAGGGCTGAGAAAAGAATCACCACTTAGTATTTTTGACATGAGACAGTTGCAACATTTTAAGTGAAATCCCATGTATGGAAACTTACTACAAAATAAGACTGATTTATCTGAGGCCAGCTTAAACTGATTCCTGATCTACTTACACTAATCAGAAACAAGTCACTCACACAGTGTCCACACGGGGTTTGTTTGCTCTAGTTTAACCAGATCAGTTCAAATTCATACCCTTTAGTTAATGGAGTGTTGTTATAGCTTTCCTGGCAAAACCCACTTCTTCAGATGGGCTGTAAGTGGTTGAGGTAACATCTACACTTGCAGAGCTATTATGCATTTTTAAAGCAGCCCATTATTTCAAAATAGATTTCGAAAATTTTCTATTCCTTTGTCCACGAGGGTTAAAGGATATTTCAGAATAGCATTTTATTTTGAAATTACCTTGAAATAAGATACACATTTTGCGTAGTGCTGGCTGGAGCAGCAGTTATGGGCTCTGTGCCCCAGCCAGCAGCAGGGCTGAAGGAGCCAGTGGCAGGAAAGGGCAACAGACCGAGGAGGCCAGTGGCAGGAGACCATAGTTCCTGCTAAGCTGTGCAGCTGCACAGCTGTTTTCTGAGCTCTGCTTAGAAGTTCAAAAGTCCTGCACAGGCAGGAAGATCAGCTGATTGGCAGGGGGAGGGGGAGGGCTGTTGTCTTGCTGAGCAAGCAGCTAACTAGAGCTGTTCTGTGCTTGAAATGGAGCAGATCTCAGAGCAGGTAATAAAAACAAGCTAAGGAGAGAAGTGGCTAGGCCAGGGGAGGGAGGAGGGAGGGAGTAGGTGAGTGGGTAATTGGGGGGGATTCAGAGGATAGGGGAGTTTGCAGAATCCCTTATGCAAGGGAGAGAGAGGCAGAAACTCAACATTCTCAAGTCTCCTGGGAAGTGAGAAGCATAGGATAGGTGGGGGAAAGGAGGGGGTGTTGGCATTGAGGTGAGGTGGAGGCAGGGAGGTAGTTTGTTTGTGCTGTGAGGTGGGGACAGTGTGGATAATTTGATTTTTAGCCAGGAGTTAGGACAGAACAGACTGCTGGAGCCTGCTACTTTGAGAAGCCGGATTTATCCCAGGATCCTGGACCCGTGCTAGGAAGTCACCTCTCTTTCTTTACCCCATTCCCTTGAGCATCTGTGAGTCTAGGGCCAAAGTATAGTAAACTCATGTTGATTGTGCCATGACTGCCATTGAAAAGAGGTGGTATTAAAAAATGACTTCAGAGTGGTAATTAAGTATCATGATACTTGGCACATTAATCAACATTGTTATTTTTAGTAATTATATCATAGTAGGAAATCTCATTACCGCTTTCTAGAGGAGGCTTGCAGATTTTGGGCGAGAATTAACATGTTTTTACTATATTTCACTGTTAGAGGCGTAAGTCTGAAAAGACTACTAAATTTCCAGACATAACTATTTTTGGACATTACTGCTTATCTCAGAGCTGCCCCTTCTCCAAACCACTAATGAGGAAAGTTAAGAAGTTGAGTCTCACACTGATATTTCTCAAAAGAGAGAGGGAGAGGAAAAAGAAAAGAGGGGGGCCTTCTTCATTCCTCATAGAAATGAGCAATACTTTTTTGCACACTGTTGCCTCTGGCTTTGGAGTTCACCTTTAAGGTTCAGTATTGGAACTGGAAACTGGTGCACAGTAAAATTCTACAACAACAGATGCAGAATGACTGCAAAGGCTGGTATGCCCAAATAAATGGGCTGGTATTTCCTCCTCAGGTTCCCATGTACAGACTTCACACTAGACAAGTAGTGTTTTTATATTTTACTTGCTGGCTAGCTCCTTTGGTGACAGATTGAGGACAGCCCAGAGTAGCAAAGTGACAGAGATATAGATGACTGGACTTCTCTGGGTCTCACTGGGATGTGACACGCTTTAAAGAATTATAATTGCTTCTAATCACTGCCCAACTGCATTAAGTCCACTTTAGATAAAGGCCTGATGCAGATTGGAAAACTGAAATGATTTTGGGGCCATAGGGAACTAAGCAGGCAATCTTAGACTGTCAAAAAACCTGAGGGATTTGCTTTGCAGTAATATGATAGATGGCTTGACTAGACATGCCATTTCCTATTTTCTGCTTTCATCTTTCAGACCAGATTGCACTAAACCACAAAACCATTGTGTGTCCCATGATCGATGTCATTGACCACAATCACTTTGGCTATGAGGCACAGGCGGGGGATGCCATGCGAGGAGCCTTCGACTGGGAAATGTACTACAAAAGAATACCGATTCCTCCAGAGCTCCAGAGATCTGATCTCAGTGACCCCTTTGAGTAAGTAGCAATAAAGGGAAAAGTTGGAACAAGAGACAGAGAGAGTGAACAAGTTAACTGTAATGACAGAAACACCAAGCTGAGGACTTTCTCAACCAATTAGCCCTAATTAAAGGTAATAAAAGCAAAGAGCCACAAACAGCAGAACAGCGAGAAAAGGTTAATGCAACAAGTTATAAAATAGAAGGGGTTATGTTTGGATGCACCGAGTTTCCTTGCCTCTGGCATGTGTTGGCAGAATGGGAAGTGGTGGGGGGAAGACTTTGTGGGTAAGAGAGAGACTAAGGCAGAAACACACATTTCTAGTGTTTCTGCAAGAGGTGGGAAAGGACAAGAAATGTATGTGGTGATAGTTATTCACTGTTTATTCCTCAGAGTGTTTTCTGTACAGACTTTAGTTTGATTCCTTTGCTGAAGATGATTCAATAGCTGAGTCCACATTCTGCTGGCAAGGGCTCTATTTATGATGGCTGTTATTGTTACTGTCTATATATTGCTATAATTTAAACAGTCGTATGAAAAGCAAAGAATATCAAGCTGATCTGTACATAATCTCTAATAAGACCGAATCAAATGCTGGAATTGTATGAATCAGATAATTCATAGTAATGATCTACTATTCTCCACAAAGCTGGATCTATTTTTATTTTATTTTATTCTTGTCTTGTAAGGACAACATGGGATTTATCCTCATCAGAGGAGAGAGAAACCTGAATTAGTTCATTAAACTTTCAGAATCACTCATGCAGCTCGCAACCTAGCAGGACTGGCAATGAGATTTGCTCTGATGCTCTCATTGTCCATTACTGAAACTCAGCATTGTATCTGGAGCCTCCATTCAGATTTTCACAGTTTAAAAACACCAAAAAAGCCTTTCTCTGATCTCAAAGTCTGGCACTATCTGAAAAAAATGGGTCTGATTTGTGCAGAATGCAGCACTGTTTCCATGGTTTTAATAGGTTCTCTCTCTGGGGGGAAAAAGAGACTGATTCCATGGGCTTATCTTCAGTGCAAAGTTATCTTGTGTTTATAGCTAGATTGCTCCTGTTATCTTGACATTGTCTGCACACAAAGTCCTCTCACTCATGGGCAATGGTACCAAAATAAGTGCAATTTGTTACCTGCTAACATGACCACTCTGTAATGTGGATGCAGGCTTTAACACAATGCTCAGAAGAAGCCACTAGTCCTCCAGTGCTTTCCCACAATTCCTTCTGTGCCTCTTGGACAGTAATTTTTCTATCTAGTCCCTGTTTCCAGACCAGAAACCACCTAACTATTTTTGAATAGTCCAGTTCAGCTTTCAAGCCCCACATTTACACATGGCTCCTACTACCAATCCAATTGCAGAAAAATAATTAAAAAGGGAGACATTAAAATCTGTGTATTCCATTCAAAACAAAGAAACAATTAATGTGTCTCCAGGCAGTGCTAAGTTTTATACTAGCAAGTCATAGGCAGGTTTTCACTATTTTCCTTCTAGTCAATAAAGTGGCAAAAAAGCACTACTATATGGCATAGCAGATATTACCCTTAGAATAATGGCACCTAGATGTCCTATAAAAATATTGGAATAAAAACATGCAAAATGGATGGGCTAGTAAAAAGTTCTCTGTGGTTAAATATACCATTTAAACAACATGCATTCTGCTTCTGCATCCAAAACAATGGTAAAATCTGGAAGAAAGACGAAAAATGATGTGCTCGTTTAAGGCTAAAAGAAAGTGTACTTAGTGGAAAAACAACTCTTGTTTTTAATCACCATCTTAAAAAATATATCTTTGTATAATGTCTTTTATAAAGGTGCATCATAAACAAGGATAGTATACATTGGGGTGGACAAAATATAATCGATCCCACCGCTCAGTGGGAGCCTGAGAAAAAGTTCCTGCTTTCACGCCCTGCACTTGACTCAAAGCAACCTGGCTGCGGGGACCATGTGTTCTCTGCATGCAGTGCACAGCAGGGGGGCCATCCACATGCCGCTCCCCCACTCCCAGCACAATCTCACAGCTCCCATTGGCCAGAAACCAGCCAATGGGTGCTGCCTGGGCCAGGCTTGTGGTGCAGGCAATGTGCAAAGAACACTCCTTCCCTGGGATGAACATGGCCCTCGCAGCTGGCCACTCTGAGCGGTGTGCAAGAGAATGGAAAACTGGGAGTCTGCCCTAGTTTTCCACTGGGCTGCTGGCCGGGAGCCACTTAGGTAAGTGCCTCCCGGCCAGAGCTTGGGCCTGTTACCTTAGTCCCTCCTTCCCCTAACTCTCTGCTTACCCTCCTGCACCCCTGCCTCAGGTCACAACCAGTGTTCCCTGTAAGATGAGCACTTGGGTGACTACTCAGGCAAGATTTAAATGCCACTCAGCAGATTAGCAAAGTGCCCACAGCTGGTAGCATGTGTTTCTGCTGGTGGTGCACATCCACACATGCCTTGGTGCACTTACCAAAATTTATTCCACACAGATAAATTAAAGGGAGCACTGGTTACAACCTAAGCCCTCTACACCCCCACACACTTGTGCACCCATTCTTCCCCCTCTCCCCTTGCCAGACCCTGCACCCGAAGTCATAACTCCCTCCTCCCCTAGGTCGCAATCCAAATCCCCACACTCTGCTCAAGATCACAACCCCCTATCAGACCCTGAACTCCTTCCTACACTCCTGCTGGTCAGAATCCTGCAGCCATACACATACCGACTCCTGCACCTCAATCCCCTGATCCAGGTCACAACACCCTCCTGCACCTGAATCCCATACCCTGAGCTACCTTCTGCACCCAACCTCCATCCCAGACCCTACACCTCCTCCATTAATATTATTGAACAGTTCGCATAAAATGGCCACTTGTCAAACTCTTGGGCTACGTCCACACTGGCCCCAAATTCCGGAAAAGTCATGCAAAGCAGGTAAGTCAGAATAGGGAAATCCGCGGGGGATTTAAATAAACATGTCCGCTGCTTTTTTTCCGGCTTGGGGAAAAACCGGAAAAAAGCATCTAGACTGGCGCGATCCTCCGGAATAAAGCCCTTTTCCGGAGGATCTCTTATTCCTACTTGAAAGTAGGAATAAGATCCTACTTTCAAGTAGGAATAAGAGATCCTCCGGAAAAGGGCTTTATTCCGGAGGATCGCGCCAGTCTAGACACTTTTTTTCGGCTTTTCCCCAAGACGGGAAAAAAGCGGCGGACATGTTTATTTAAATCCGCGGGGGATATTTAAATCCCCCGCGGATTTCCCTATTCTGACTTACCTGCTTTGCATGACTTTTCCGGAATTTGGGGCCAGTGTAGACGTAGCCTTGGAGTGGTTCCCCAATCAAAAATTATTGCCCAGCCTTGCCCTGCATATTATAGGTATTCTAGTAATGTCAACACAATCTGATAACTTTCTGGGGCACTGATCAAACTTACGGTAAATATAAAAGGGTACTGAATGTGGAACCACTACTTTATATCACAAACTGAGAGGCAGAAAATGAGGTAGCCGGGGGGCTGCCACCTCATAGGTACATAATGGGAGCCATTCTAAGCTAGGAAAGGGGAGCATGGGAGTGGGAGACAGCAGGCGGCTCCCGGAAACAGAGCAGGGACCCTGCTGAGTGGAAGCAGCCACTCCATGGTGACAAGCAGGGTACTGTGAAGCTGCTGATGGGCTCTTTTTATCATCTTATCACTCAGGTAGGAAAGCAGCAGCTGTTTAATACTCCTGATGGAAAACCATGGAGCAGCCAGGAGGGAGGGTGAGTGACAGCACCACAGACGAGAAAAAGGAGGAGGATGAAGCTAGCCCCCTAGCAGCTACGTGAAAGGGGACTCTCCTGATAAAAACCAGGACTTTAAATGTCCTGGGAAGAAACATAGATTTCTTGGAAAAGTACCTCAAAAAAGGGGCAATTATGGGAAAACCTAGTTTTGTTCTAGGTCTGTTATTCTATTCAGAAGTACTTTCCTAGAATAAAATGGACCAAAGCATTGCTAAAAAGCAGTGTGGTTTTGCTTTGGCTAGCAATTATTATTTTGTCTTTCAAAGTCAGTGCTAATTTTCTTTCTGCAGAAAAAAATACAGCTTCTGTTCCACTCACTTCCACAGGCTTACATAAATCTGATGCATTTAATACATAGCATATGACAAATAAGGTAAACATTACAAACCTCATGCCCAGACCATCATAAAGTTAATTGACCTAGACAGTTTTTGTAGCAGTGAAGCTGAACTATTTCCCTTTAGGAATGTATGTGCTGACATGAGAGGCAGATTCAACCAACAACATGTTACTATTTTGTAAATTGTAAGGATTTGGGTTTTTTAAATTAGGCTAAATATTTTGCCATTGGTATTCTAATAGCTGTACTTTTTGCCAACAGTTTCCAATCTGGGCAGATTCTGAATGAACTGAGAAAATGCCAACTTTTTTTAGTAAAATACTAGCAGTTTTTCTTTTTTGTTTTTGCTTCGGGTTTTTTCTCCCCTATTGAAGATGCTGACACAGTGGGTGCCAGAAAGTAGACCACAATACAGAAGACTAAAATATCTGTATTATTTGAACATAATACTTGTGTGCTGTCTATAAGCAGAGAAAAGTGTGTGTGTGTGTGTGTGTGTTGCCCCTACACTGACAATCAGAACAGTTGTCAGGTAGGCTTTTGCTGTGACAGTATTGGGCAGTTTGCTGAACTCCGTAGCCAGCTGAGCTGGTAACTTTGGAATTAAATTTTTAATTTTTTTTTTACTGTCATCCGGTTTGGCAGTTGTTTACATTTGGCAACTGCATCCTCCTACTGGACACTGTATAAAATCCCCTTGACTGGGAAGAATCGGGATTCTTTTAGCCAAATGTAACAAAAGTGTGGGTATATCTTGTCCACACAGTCACATTGTCATTCAAACAGCAGCTTTTTTCCTAATTGCCAAGGAACTGGGAGCAGAACTTCAGTGCATCTCACTCAGTTTTTTTGATCAGATGCCCTCACATTCAGCCCTTTGTAACTTGCTCAGCACAAA